TAAAAATCGAATTCAAAAGAAACTAAAACTATAATGACTAAAAATATATTAAAAAAAACTCATTGTATTAAAAATATTTTATTATTTTATCATAAACAATAACAAAATAATATAATTGTTTTATAATTTAAATTTTTATCAAAAATATATATAATTTTATTAAATCAAAAAGACTAAAATACCAAAAAAAAAACACTAACAATTTATATAATAAACAAAAAAAGAAAAATAAATAAATAAAAGACTAAAATACCCCTAAGTTAATGGAAGATTTTAACAAACTGATGTCAGGGACGAAAACGACAATAAATTACAAACCATAAAGATGAAAATTGTAATTTTAAAACCACATGGACGGAAATCGCAATTTTTCTCAAATCACAGAGATGAAAATCGTAGTTTACTCTAGATTGTTATTATTTTTATCGTATGTCTAACTGAAATACTTTTTTTTATTAACCTGGATATTCAACCGCTATACGAGCCGACTAATACTAGACCGACCACCTGCTTTGCAGATAGCCCGGAGTCACCGCATTTGAACTTCCGTGACCACAAGAGGATTTTTATTTCTCCTTGGACTTGAACTTAGAAACTCCTGGTACTTTTTCATAATATTACTTGTAAAACATTTGTTGAGTTGTTCTCAAGTACCACAAACGAATGATTTATATTTCATCATCTTTTTGTACGATTTTCGAGTACCCCATACGAATTCGAACATGAAAATCAACAAAAAGACTTCTAATTTGATTCAAATTATTGTTCTCCATCTTTTCAATCTTCAAATATACAAACTGGAAGATAACGAATTTCAAACCAATCGGATAACCAATCGATCTTGCGAAAGCTCAACGATCACCCAACCATTGAACCATATGCCGACACCATGCTATTTAACAACCCATGACTATTTACAAATGTGCATAGAGCAAGTAGCAGGAAAAGACTGTTAATCAGAAGAAGATGAGGCATAACATTATGCAACAAAAGAGGAAAAAGCAAACGCGGCCAAGCGACCGATCGGCTTGCATTGCCTGCCTTCTAGCTCGTTGAGTACTAATCGGCACTAGATTATACGAATTGGGATACGCATAGAAAGACACTTGGGAGTTCCCAAAAATCCTCCCGGATACCATTTCTTCAAGCATCCCAGTCGTTGGACTCATCGGGTTGATCATCACATTCGATATAGATGTGGGCCCCGGAGCTAGTTGTCGACTTGGCACCGTGTAGGCCCCACAGCTCGGACTAGGGGGCCTACGAGGGATCATGAACGTTTTTTCGTCGGACTGTGGTTTTGTAGTTTGACCACGACCGTATAAAGGAACTAGAGTCTTTTGAGAGATGTCGTTTTTGCAAACAGGGCATTGTGGGTGTTTGTTTGGAGTTTCTGAGGAAGAGTTTTGGTGATGAATCCATTTGTATATGCACGGCCAGCAATAGAGGTGGCCACAGAGTGTAACCACCGGATCTTGGACGGAATCTAGACAGATGTTACAGTCAAACCCGGCGGAAGGACTGTCTTCAGACTCATCAACGACCTCAGACGATGATTTCCACTTGTCCAGCGAGGCTTCGTTCTCTTTGAGAAAAGCGTTTTGAGGGATGGTTTCTTGGGAGTACTGTTCCATGGCCATTTGATTCACGTAATTCTTGGATGTTGATGTCTGAAACACAGAGAAAGATCAGGGATTTGAACTAGTTGACATTAAAAACTACTGAATTTTAGATAACCTTATGAACCCAAGATAACAAGAGGGCAAATGGGAAAAGACATATGATTAGTAACGGTTGCCAATGTGACTATATATGTGTCCTTAAGTATCAACAAAACTGTAGATAGATCTAGGCTCCGATTAGAAGAAATCATATAAATTACATGCCATCATGTTCATATTGAGGATAGTGATGATCTTATGGACTCAAATAGATACGTATTTCAAAACGAAATAAACTATACAAGATTTACTGTGTATTCACAGTTCTCGAGTATATATTTATCAAATTATTTATATAATGATTAAGAAAAAGACGAAAGTATACTAAAATAGCAGGATTTAACTTATTGCAAGAAGAAAATTACAAAGTATCCCAAATCTTTCGTTTTTAACCATATATTGAAAGCTACTATTGCAATTTTAGCATACCTACGCATTTAATTTTAGCACTGATTCGAATATCTATTGCACAGCAGGAGGAACAAAAATTCCTGAAGGCAGAAAAATTTAACCACCAGCACGTAAAATCCAAAATCAAATATCATCAATCATAAATTCATCATCAAAAACACAAACAGATGGAAAATCTATGAAACGTAACCTTAGTCAACACCGTGTGATTAACTCGTTTTGAATAATGAACTCATAAACACTGTTTTTGAGAATCAGAAACAGAGATACAGAAGATCCATCTCGATTTCAATATCTCGTCAAATTGCCCATTCATATGGCTTCGCAAACGAATCGAGTAACAGTCAGTACAGAGAATTCATAGAAAAAGAGCTCAAACTTACCGAAAAACGCAGATTTGGAAACTGTCTTTGAGATTGATTTGATGAAGAAATTATAGATGCTTCGTGAAATTTGAAGGCGATGAGGGAGATTGGGTCAGATGGAAGATGAGAGAGAGAAGGCTCTGCACCAGCTGAAATATATATATAGATACAAAAAGGTGTATGTAATAATGAATAGTGACTTAAATAAAAAATAAATAAAATAACGGAGTACGGTACGGGAGTAGACTCGGTTTAGTCCATAAAGGTTGACATCGCGTAGGGGATACTCCGGTGCTCCATAACTGCCGACGCGCTCTTCTTACGACCTTATCCTGATGACTTGGCACATTTTTTTGCTTTTACGTTTTTAATATTAACTTTTTTGCTCTTTTTTAATTATTTTCTAAATATTTATAATTATAAACAATAAAAACAAAATAAAATTTATAAAGCACAAAAAACATTATTGCTTTTTATTAAAATGTCCTCATTGATATAAAACACTTTTTGGGAAATTTATAGCGGTACCAAAAAATAATAAATTGATAAGTTATTTTTTAGTGTTTGATAAATTTTGCTTATATATATAAAATGACTAAAAAGAACAGTATTCCTTATTATTAACTTATGAGAGTGTTTGGGATTGCTTCTAATTTATTTTACATCATTTATAATAATATCTTTGACAAAAATTTATATCAATAAGATTAATAATTTATATCAATAAGATTAATAATTAATAAACATCAATAAAACATAGTTAAAATGATAAACTGGTAATAAACAATTTTTCATAAGTCAGTAAGGTTTAACTTATAAAAAACTGCTTATTATCGGTTTGACACCGGTATAAACAGTTTTATTTTTCCTCATCCAAACACTAGCATTTAGCTTATCACCGGTGTCAAACTGAAATAAGTCAAAAATCATCTAAAATAAACAATCCCAAACACCCCCAAAACACTTGTTTTACACATAGATTATATTATTATTTTAAAAAAACTGTTCAAAATGTATCAGCAAAACAAACAAAAAAATCCATATGATTTATTATTCAGTATTAATTATGATAATTGATAAAGTTGTTTAAAATTTCATCTTTTGAGAAACAACAAAATGATTGTTATATCTTTTCGTTTTATCAAAACCTTGTAAGATACAAACTGTCTCGTCCCACTCACAAGTTACAACAACTCCATTCAGCCCCTCCTCTTGTGTCGTTGTCCCTATTAGTTTTCGAAAACCTTTTCCATTGTTTATCTTTTGTAAACATCAGTATTTTAATCATTTTATATCATTTTGACTCAATATTTATATAGGTAACGTTTATTTAAAGTCGGGTCACCTTCTTTTTTACCTTTTTAATTCGATAATATCCATATTTATTTTAAAGAAAAATAAATAAAAATATAATCATATTTTCACTTTTATAAAAATATTTTTGTACTATAGAACTTATTGATTACAAACTTATATTTTTATCAAATATTTGTTTTTTAAACAAGTTATTTAAGATATAATCAATTTAAAATAAGGTTAAAAACGTTTTTTAAATGTGATCCCCATTTGATAATTTATGTTGTATAATTTAATTATAATTAAAAACTATAAATTTAAACAATATGTTTTTTTATTCAAAACTAAAATTCTGTGGGATTAATTTTACTGACAATAAAACTGAGTTTCTCTTCACAAGTTACTAGTTTTAGTTTTACAAAACCGTTGAAATATTTTTGATTGTTTTTAAAGCTTCTAGAATTAACTGAGATAAATAAATCCACAGTTCTAATAAACTAACCAATTCAAAACTATGGGTACTTTTTAGTCTTCTTCAACCGTTGAACTTGTTTGACCCATTTCTAACCTTCAAATGGACTACTTCAAGAATATCTAACAGCATCTTCAACAAATTCTTTAAAATAGAAATAATTAAAGATTTTAAGGAGTTTGGATATGTTTTTTTTTGAGAAAAATACTCTTTAAACGTTTCTCCTTTTTGGAGAAAATAGGAAAGTGGGTATAAAATTCTTCTAAATTTGGAGATTTTCCCAAAAAAATATTACAATAAGAGAATATTTCAACTTATATGAAACTTTGAAGCTGTTTGACAGTTACTGAATGATTTGGTGCAGAATGATTAAGTGGTCAGAATGATTAAGAGTCTTTCATGATATAATACAAAATGAAATATAATTGTTTGATAATTGTTTACAATGAAATTAGGGCGCTTAATGATTAAAGGCTCAAGATACAAAATTATTTAGAGGTTTTTAGAACCATTAAGAGACATATTTTTTTTTGTCAAACAAGATTCAGATGTTGCCTCTTAATGGAACTATTAAGAGGTAAACAAACAACTCATTTGAATGAAATATTTTAACAATAAAATCAATGTTAAATTTTTTACTGATATTGGAGTTGAATGTATTTTTTTATAGAAATTTTGAAGTTTTCTTTTCCATTTTAAAGAAATTATGAAGACGGATAAAATATTTACTGATGTTGCATTCGTTGTAAAGATTAAAAAAAACTCGCATCCTTCGATGTTTGACAAACTTATTTTACACGTACTCGTCGATGAAATAAAACGCATTTCCCGGTATTAAGGCTTCAGTGAGATGGTGAAGTGAAATCGTATTTTTTTTGCTAAACTTTTTGGTTGTTTTAATGCATATTTTGTCTCTGGTTTCGATTTGATATGCGTTTTTTTAATGGATGATCCCAGACGTTGATCAAACTAATCTCACGGCAAATTGTGATTATTAGGCTTCGTCCACAACCTGTAATGAACTCCCAGTTTTCAAAAGCATATATGTAGATGACGAGATTCGAACGCAAGTTAATTTTTATCCACCACGCTACCATCTTTGTGATTTTGATATGCGTTTTTTATTACTTGAAAAATAATTTAAAAATTAAAATAAATTTGTTCAATCACGTTTCTTAACATCTGGTAGTTTCTTTAACTATTTAAGTATTTGGATCGGACGCGATCCTTCAAACTTTTACGCCAATTTCCTGACGAGGAAAACAACTAATATCAAAATTTCAAGAAAGAATATGAAATGAATTTTTTACCGAATTTTACGGGTGCTTAACATGTGATACTTTCGGTTTTATTTTTTGTTTGATATGCCTCGTTTTCAGGAAATCTTGACGGTAATTCAAAAATGATGTTATATTTGTTAGATGACATTTCTTGCAGTTCTGTATTTTATAACTTGTCTAATATTGTGATCGAAAACAATCTTTAATACGTTTACGTCAACTCTTGGTTGAGACAAATATGTCTTTCGTGTCGGTATCAACATTTTAAGAAAAAACGTGAAACAAATATCTTATTGTTTTTTTTTTTTTGTCTAAGGGTGTTTTTTGGATGGATATTAAAGCTTATTTTAGCATAATATAATTTTCTTATAATTATTAACGATGTTGTTTCGTGTCTGCTTTGGTAGCATCATTTAAAAAGAATATTCATTATTATAATTTTGATATCTTAATATAATTCTCAAATAAAATAAGATATATTTTTATAATTTTTTTTTTGATTAACTTGGATATCTAACCCGCTATGCGAGCTGACTAATTTCAAAACGACCACCTGTTTTGCAGATAACCCGGAGTCACCGTATTTGAACTTCCGTGGCCACAAGGGGATTTTTATTTCTCCTTGGATTTGAACCTGAGACCTCCTGATATTTTTGACCTTTTTAACATTTTGATAAATAAAAAGGGTCGATCTCTCTTTACTTTTAGCCACTTTTTTTACGAACGAGTCAGATTAATCAAACGTTTTACAGGTACCACTTCTATAATTTAGGGTTTGTTTGTTTACTTCTTAATAGTTTCATTAAGAGACAACATCTGAATCGTTAAGAGGTGAATCTTGTTTGAAAAAAAAAAGTTTGCCTCTTAATGGTTCTAAAACCCCCTGAATGATTTTGTATCATGTATCTCCTTTAACCATTAAGAGCCCTAATTTCATTGTACACAATTACCAAACAATCATATTTTATTTTGCACTATATCATGAGAGCCTCTTAATCATTTTGACCATTTAATCATTCTGCACCAAATCATTCAGCAAACAACCCCTTATAGAATGTATTTTTTTGGAGCTAACCAAGTTTGTATTTAGGTTTACATACATGAATTATTTTGGATACACGTGATTCATGGGTATAATTGTATATGTTAATTAGCTTTAGTGGGAGCATCACCCCGTTAAATGGATGCTTCCTTGTTTTAGATAAATCAATTATATATATATTTATATGATTATTAATTGTTATTTAAATAAGTATATGGGTTTATTTGCATTTTGTTATTTAATTATGGATGGAAGCTTCCTTTCTTGAGGTAAATTAATTGTATAAAAGAATGTGTATTCATGATGAATTGATTTAGAAGCATATGATATTAGGTATGCTTGTATTTTATCACCTCATTCTCAGAGGATGGATGTTTCCTACTTATAGGTATATTGTATAATTTATTATTTTATGTATTTAAGATTTAAAATATGAACCACAAGGGTGGTGTCTGATTGGTTTGAACTTAGTTCCAAAGGTAAAAAGTGTCTGGAGGTCTCAGGTTCAAATCCAAGAAGAAACAAAAGTCTCATTGTGGTCACGGAGGTTCAAATGCGGTGACTCCGGTCTACCTATAAAGGTGGTTGTCTTGTGATTAGTCGGATCGCATAGCGGATTGGATATCCAAGTTAATAAAAAAAATTAAAATATGTTTATTTTAATACCTGATTTGTTGACATAACTACATCATCAAATAACCAATAAAATTTTAAATAAATTATGAAGGTCAAAATTTGATTAAGAAAAAATCATACATAATACTTTGTATTTTATACTATCAAGGTAGATATAGAAAATTTGCATTCACACCTACCGTAGGATTTGCCTTTTGGGTTGGGATGTCGCCACATGTTTCTAAAAAAATTAGAGGTTGTTTGACAATTGCTGAATGGTTTGGTACATAATGATTAAGTGGCTCTTATGATATAGTGCAAAATGAAATATAATTGTTTAGTAATTATGTACAATGAAATTAGGGCTCTTAATGGTTAAGGGAGATCCAGGATACAAAATCATTCAAATGGTTTTAGAACCATTAAGAGACACACTTTTTTTTG